GGCATGGGTCCCTGTGAGCCCCCCCAGCTGCTGATGGGCATGGGTCCCTGTGAGCCCCCCCCCCGCAGCTGCTGATGGGCATGGGTTCCCGTGAGTCCCCCCTTAGCTGCTGATGGGCATGGGTCCCTGTGAGTCCCCCCTTAGCTGCTGATGGGCATGGGTCCCCGTGAGTCCCCCCTTAGCTGCTGATGGGCATGGGTCCCTGTGAGTTCCCCCCCCAGCTGCTGATGGGCATGGGTCCCTGTGAGTCCCCCCTTAGCTGCTGATGGGCATGGGTCTGTGCATTCACTACTGTTCACTGAAAAGACACTTATCTGATTAAGGCTGAGAGCAGCACTGTCTCTGGGTCCCTCTGAGACCCAGTGTCAATATTTAGAAGGTGGGTTGACACTGTCAGTTTAACTGAACAATGATCTTTAGGTCCCTCCTAGGGCCTATGATCTCCCCTGCTGTGGGGTTCTGACCAGGATTACAGTACCAGGCATGGATTTGCTCCTATGGAGCGGAACTCAAATCCAGTCCGAGCAAATTGGATACTTTCACAACAGTGAGAGTGAAGAGGTGGACACATCTTGTCTGGCAGATTAATATAGTTCACAGCTGGATAAGACCATTAATAACATTTCTCCCACAGCAGCCTGCATAGTACCTTCCAGGACTATAAAAACTAGCCAGCAGAGAGGAAACTTCCAGCTTGATTCTCTGTGTCTTCAACTGAGTTGTGCAGTGTCTTTAGCAATAGAGTTTGTCATCTGGTTTTTGTGGGCAACTAAGAATAATGACACGAATCTGTATTGTATTTTGGGGGGCCTCAGATATGTACACACACACACACACACACACACACACACACACACACGCTTTTTTTTTAAGAGACAGATTATATGATTTAGGTAGAGAACAGCGTAAGAACTGATTTGGTGGGGAAATTCTAGCAATGGGAAGTCCAGTTGGAAGATTGATGAGTAGATTTTTAAGGGATGTTTATTCCTACTCTCTTTACTATACTTTGTTTTCTCTGAGTAGTGTCCAGTGTGCCTTGTGGGTGGCTTCCTGTATGGTGTGTTCTCCTGTATATGTGCTTCCTACTGGGAGGCCTTTATTGTATTCTCTCACCCTTTCCTATCACATTTCATGACCATTATATCTAACATCTTCAAGATACCACCGGGTCTCTGTTGGTTTGGCTACCTTTACCAGTTCCATAAGCTCCACACCTGCATCCCCTCTGTATCTTTCCTAAGGATCCTCTTGCCCCATGTCTGTTCCTTCCCTTGTATTAAGTATTTTTTTTATTCTTGTCTAGGAATAAAAGCACTTTCTGAGCATATTGTTGGCCTGAAATTAACTTTTAGGCTGATTGTGGTGGTGTATACCTATAATCCTAGCACTTGGGGGTCAGGGGGCGTTGAGGCAGGAAGATGAAATGTTTGAAGTTAGCCTGGGCTACACAGGGAGTCCTAAGCTATTCTGGGCTGCACAGTGAGAACATGTCCAAAATGAAATGGAAGTAAAGTAGAAATTGGAATAGTTGGTTGAGAATCACATGGGTACAGTCTCTGAGTGCTGCTGGGCTGTGTTTTAGAGGAGTTGCAGCAGTAATGAAACATGTTTCCTGTGGACGTGTGACTCATGGCTTTTTTGTTGTTGTTGTTGTTGCTCATGGTACAGAAATCCTGCTGAAGAATATGAAGAAAAACCGAGAAAGATTCTGCAACAAGGAAAGAGAATTCGTGTACAAGTTCAAGGTAGGAAATGAGCGCTTCGAACTGAGAGTGCCCCTCAGGTTTCCTGTGGACGAGAATGCCAGCCATTTGCATGGACGTCTGATGCTGCTGCACAATTTGCCCTGCTTCATAGAGAGTGGTGAGGACTGATTTGTGTTCCTAATGTCTCTGTCATTGGAAGTTTCTCGGCAGCACACAGATTCTGAACTTGGGACCTGACATGTGAGACTGCACAACAGAATGTTAGGATCATGAAAAAGTGACCAAAAGTGAATTCAAAACCAGATGAATGGTGGGTTCACGGTACACACAACACGGACACTTTGTACTGCTGATGCCACCGTGTTCTGCACCTCCAGTGAGTGCTGCCCAGAGCTTCCTGGCTCAGATTCCAGCCTGCTCTTAGGCACTGCGGTGCTTTTACAGTTTTCTGTTCTCATAGAAATAATGGCTTAATTGTGGAAAACAAAGAGTGTAGTATTTTTCTCTCCTCACTCCTCAACATTGAAGTTTTTTAAATCACTATGTCTTTAGGTTGTATTGTGTTAGGATGTTTGAGTTTCCAAACAGTTTTTATTACATTGATGTATGGTGTGCCACAGAGCCTGCGTGAAGCTAGAGAAGAGCTCACAGAGTTGGTTCTTTCCTTCCACCGTGTGGGTCCTAAGACCTAACCCAGGTTGTTCCCCTTGGAAGCAAACATCTTTATCTACTGAGCCTTCTCTTTGGCTCCTGAATGTTTGATTTTTAAATATTGCTGCTTTAGTTGCTGACTTCAGTTTTATAAAAATTTGTTTAATAAATTTTGACATGAAATTAAGACAGAATTGCAAACAATTTCTGAAATGCCTTTAAACATATGTTTTGCCATTTTATACTACATATTTATGAAAAATGTCATTCTTGTCATTGACAATTATAAAATCAAAATGAAAAATATTAAAGATGCTCTGCATCCTACAGTTTAACTATTCAGCCAAGATTTAATTATTTTTGTAAAAATGAACAAGCACATCCATTCCATTAGTATACATCTTTTTAGTCTTTGTGTGAATGTGTGTGGGGTATATATGTATTGGGGTGTATGTGTGTGGGGTGTATGAGATATTTGGGGGGAAATGTGTGTGTATATGGGTGTGGGGTATGTGTGTGTATGGGTGTATGTATGTGAGGTGGGTATGGATATATGTGCGTGTGTGTTGGAGTGGGTGCAGGAGAACAAAAGTTGATATCAGATCTTCCTCTATTGTTGTCCACCTTTTGATTTTTTTTTTGGGAAGAGTCTTTCATTGGCTCTACAGCTCATCAGTTCAGCAAGATTTGCTGGTTAGTGAGTTCCAGGGATACAATACTCCAGCCTCTGCCTCCCCAGTGCAGGAATTATAGGCACACACTGCCATACCCAGCATTTTACATAGGTCCTGGAGATTGAAATTATATTTACATGGCAAGCACTGTACTCACTGAGCCATTTCCCCAGCCTTTAATTTAGTCTTTAATAAACAGTCGGATTTGTAGTAGACACCAAGGTAACATACATTTCCCCATGATTTTTAAACATTAAATATTTGATTTGTATACCTATTGTCTTAGTTAGGTTTATGTTGCTGTGGTACAGATCATGACTTGGGGGAAAAGGTTGCACTTGCAGTCCATCATCAGGGAATCAGGGCAGGACCTCAAGGCAGGAACGCCGAGGGAGGAACTAAAGCTGAGGTCATGGAGGAGCACTGTTTACTGGCTTGTTCTTCACGGCTTGCTCAGCCTGCTTTCTTGCAGTACCCAGAACCACCAGCCCAGCAGTGATACCACCTACAGTGGGCTAGGCCCTCCCACATCAGTCATTAATCAAGAAAAAGCTCCGCAGGCCTGTCCACATGCCAGGCTTGCGGCAACATTTTCTCAGTTGAGGTTCTCTCTTAGAGACTGATATTTCAAGTTGACAAAACAACCATGAACCTAAATATCCGAGTCGTGTAAAACTTTCTATGGTGAGTGCTTTGTGAGTGTACAAAGTTTAAGAAGCCCTGTCTAGAACACACAACCCCAACAGCATCGGAAGTGTAAAATATGACTTAACCTTCCAAGAAGAAAAACTGTTCACCAGAACTTTGGAAATTTTTGTTTGTACTGTAGTTATTCATGAAGTAATGTAGTATCTGAATTAATTGGCACAATACAAATTTAGCCACAGTACTTAACCTCTGAGTTTGGTTGTGGGGATTTACCAAGTGTCTCAGCATCACTTGCATGGTGGAACTTTGCTGCTAAATCGGTCTCTCTTTTCCTCTGCTCATTGGCTTTTGAGGTGCCAAAGTCCAGCAGGAGCACTTAGCACTGAACCACCTTTGTCCACTGACTTCCAGAGTCATCTCTTCTGAGTCATTTTGCAAGGGCCATGTTTTTTTCACAACTAGGGGAACTTTTAAATAGAGAATCTGTTGGATCATTGGAGCATGGATTATTCTTGGAACATGGACCATGAATGAAGCTGTGTGAGGAGATTTCTGAGACTTTGTAAGAAAACTCCAAGGAAACAAGATAAGAATCTTGTGACCTCAGTTTCTTCAAAACACAGAATTGTTCTTGGAATATGCTTTTGTGCTCCTCCCAAGTGTAGCAGACAGGAGTGAGTTTACTTCAGCTGTTGATACTCACATGCACGTATGGAAAAACATGTTTTTGCTACATGTGGCTCATCCTTGTGATTGTATACTTTACTCAGATGACTCTTCTTAATCCTCAGAGTATAAATTGTCTGATGCTCTGAGTAAGTTAGCTATTGCATGAGACTTTAGTCTGCCTCAGATTTCGGCTCCACTCTCCCAGGTTCACCCCACCAACTAGAGAGGTAAACAGATAAGGGAAGCTTGAAGCATTCTAGTACTGTCATCATATAAACCAGGACCCAGGACACAAAAGGGCAAACACTTACCCCATTGTCCTCATTGTTAGTTCTCAAAAGGTTGTGCCATCCTAGACAAATAGCATCACTGGGAGCTTGTAAACCTGTAAGAAATGTGAATTCTACTTTTTAATTTTTTAAAATTACATATTTATTCATTTTATTTTATATGCATCTCTCTGTGTGTGCATGCGCATACCATGGCATGTGTATGGCAGTCAGAATACAACCAAACTCAGTTCATTTGGATGTATGTCCCCTACTGTGTGTATGTCTTGCTGATGATGGCATTTGTTGTCTCTTGTACAGACTTAAAAGAAGCTCTGAGCCGGTTTGTAGAAGAAGAATCCCTCAGAGACCATGACAGACATGCCGAAGCATCCTTGGATGCTGTGAAGTCAGGTGAAGTAGATCTGCACCAGCTGGCAAGTACATGGGCCAAAGCTTATGCTGAGGTAAGACAGAGGGCAGAGTGTGTATTTCAAAAATACTCCAGACTTTACGAGGATGTTTTCATTGCTGAAGTCATAGGAAACAAAGTAGAGAACCCATTGCTTTTTTATTTGCAAGCCAGTAATATACACCATATGTTCTTGCTTCTGTGCTTCCATTCTCTATCAACATGAGTTCCCGAGGCAAAGTATTTGTGTGTGTGTGTGTGTGTGTGTGTGTGTGTGTGTGTGTGTGTGTGTGTGTGTGTGTGTGTGACTCAAGCCACCAAACACTTGTTGAAGACAGAGGACACTTTAAGGGAATTGGTTCTTTCCCTCCACCCTGTAGGTCCTAAGGATTGAACTCTGATGAACTGTCTTCAGCCCCAGCACCATTTTTTTAAATGAAGTATGTTTGGAATCGTACTTTTGGAAACATGAAGCTACTTTATCCTCTGTATTTCTTGGAGCATGTTTACATTTTTTTACATGTTTACGTTACTCTATCTGGAGTTCCAGTTGAGCTAACACCTTGAATTTCATCTGACAGCCTAAGCCAGCAATCCAACTTAATTTTCAGCTCTGCTTACTCCTGCTTTCTCACTTGTTTTTGTCATTGTTGTAGAGTGTCATTGGTTTTTTGTAGGGTTGCAGCTAGTATGGCCAGTTTAATGAAGTACAAGATGCTACACACATTATTACTTTATTTACTAACCTATGAATCATTTTAGAGTATGATGTTTTTAATAAGAAAGTTTTCTTCTGATTATAGAATATTTCATACAAATTATCTTTATTGTGCTGCGTAGTTTTATATACACTTGATACAAGCTAAAGTCATCTGAGAAGAGGGAACCTCAATTAAGGAAAGGCTTCCGTAAGATAGGGCTATAGACAGGCATTTTCTACACGAGGGAGGGCCCAGCCCACTGTGAGTGGTGCCACTTCTGGACTGGTGGTCCTGGGTTCTGTAAGAAAGCAGGCTGAGCAAACCATGGGGAGCAAGCCGGTAAGCAGCACCCCTCCATGGCTTCTGCATCAGCTCCTGCCTTCAGGTTCCTGCCCTCAGTTTTTTTTGGTAATGAGATGTTACGTGGAACCATGAGTGAAATAAACCCTTTCTTCCCCAAGTTGCTTTGCTCATGGTGTTTTGTCACAGCCACAGAAACCTAACTAAGACATTCATAATGCATTCACACACAGCCAAGTTAGTGGCTGTGAGAAGTGCCACTGTCCTGACATAGCTGCCGTTGGCTTGTTGCTCATCCCTTTGATGAACACGTGTGCATTTTGTATGGAAATGGGATCATGGCATACTGATTTTCTCTATTATTGTAGGCACTTCCATCCCTCGCTCTGCAGGAATACCTCATTTATTCCCCAGGCTACGTTACAATTCATAGTAACAGCTTAGGTTCTGTCTCTCCATGTTCTTTTTTGTATTCAAACAGTCCTACAGTAACATCTACATGGCAGGGGCTCCATGTCTCTGTCTGATGTGTCAAAGCACAGTCACAATCTCCACACTTCTCTAGTGGGATGTTGAGCCAGGACTGAATGTGTGTATTATCTCACAGACTACCTTAGAGCATGCCAGGCCTGAGGAGCCGAACTGGGATGAAGATTTTGCAGATGTGTACCATGACCTGATCCATTCCCCAGCCTCTGAAACTCTCCTTAATCTGGAACATAATTACTTTGTTAGCATCTCAGAACTGATTGGTGAAAGAGATGTGGAGCTGAAAAAATTACGAGAGAGGTACCACTCATTTCTTGTGTTATTATAATTAAATGTTACATTGTGAAATATAATAGCCTGTAGACCAGCTTGTTTGCACTTTCATAAAATTGAAACACTGCAAAATGCTTGGAGTGAGCTGTCTTCTTTACCACAGCCCTACAATTGGCATCTTCATTTTGCAGGTGAGAAAACCGTGGCTTACATAAATCCAGTAGTTATCCAAGGGCAAGCTAGAATTTTAACCAAATGATTGTGACTTCAGAACTATTAGCCACTCCTTCTCGCTCTGTCCCTACTCAGAGCGTCTTCTGGATTGCCTTTCTCTAGGCCATGGTGTCTTTCAATTATATTGTAAGCTTCCCACACTAGGAAGAAAATAGAGATAGCCATCGCATTGCCCCAAAAAATTGTAATCAGATTTGAATTCCTCTGTATAGTCTCCCTAAGATAGCACACAAACAGTGCTTTCTTGGATACAGTTTCTGAGTTAGTAAAAAGCCACCAACTCCTTTATGTTGATGTGTGGCTTTCCGGGATGCTCCTCTGGTTCTGTTAATTGTGGTGTAAAGCAAATGTCCTCCTCCTACATAGTCCACTTTGACTTAGCAGACCATTTATTACCTTAAAAGCATTTATTTAAGAGTCTGGGTATACATAACATCTAGATGAATTTTAATATTACTGGTGTACAATGGTTCTTGTTGTGGAAGCTTGTTAAGACCAAATCACACTTAATTTTTATAACTGATTTAATATTAATACTAAAGAAGTCAACTTAAAATGAGATGCTATATGCTCCTGTCTCTCATTAGCCTCACATTAGAACACATTAAGACTAACATTGTGTGGATAATATTTTTATTTTAATGGTTATTATAGTTAAAAAATTGAAATATAAAATAATCACAGATGGATTTCTTTTCTTTCATGATGCTGAACAATGAACCCAGGCTTTGAGCCTCATGTGTCTAAGGATTCAGCCAACTGTCAATCAAAAACATGCAAAAAAAAAAAAAAAAAAAAAGAGTCATGCCTATTTTGAACATCCTCAGGCTTTAAATCTTGTAGTTATTCCTAAGAATACAGTATAACAACTACTTACATTGCAGTAGTTGTTGTAAGCAGTCTAGAGATCATTGAAAACATGCTGGAGGGTGTGCATAGGTTGATACAGATACTCTGCCAGGGACCAGTGCTGTGAGTCCCCAGGGCTAACTGTATTGCTCTGGACACCCTTGGCTCCTGTGTGTCCCTCACCAGTGCTTCACCCAGCCAGTGGCTGCTCTCACCCCTGCCTGCTCCTCCCTGAAAAGTCCCTGTCTGGCCACCCATGGTTACACTGTTCTGTTTTCAAAATCAGAGGTGATTTCTATTCTGTTTATTTATTATTTTTCGAAACAGCTTCTATTCTACCAGGGACAATGAATTAACTTACTAATTATTTACCCTCTTTGGAACTTGATGTTTGATCCTTTTTTTTTCTATTGTGGAATAGTTTTTTTTTTTTTTTTTTAGGAGAAGTTATGGCATTTTATCGCTTGACATTCAGGTTGCAGAGTTGTCATACCTGGTATTCTGAGCCAGCCTATAGTTAGTGTTTATCTGAAATAGAGACGACTTTCCTTTGAATTTAACCTAGGCAATATCTTAAATAATTAATTATATGATTAATTCCTTGCATTTTTGGATACATTCAGGGTGACATAAATGTTCATGAAATTTTCCTTGAATTCTTTTGTCTTTTTTTTCTTATGAGAATTTTGCTGCTTTTATGAAACCATATTCTAGATAGTTCTTTAAACTTTAGAAGAAATGACAATAACACTTTTTATCCACTAGAGGGAACACTTGTAAAATATTAGTGCAAATATGTATCTAAGTTTTTAGTAGACATTTTTGTTTCTAAATGAAAACCTCTCTTATAATCATAATCTTCACCTGATGCCTCGTACTTTCTAAAATATTAATAACCAGGAGTGGGGGTGCACACCTGTAATCCCAGTTCTCAAGAGGCAGAGACACGAGGCCCCCAGGACTGCATCATGAAACCCTGTCTCAAAAAGCAAACAAAACAAAAAAGTTTATGGGACTGTCTGCATTGTATATAGTGAAGTGGAAGCTAAGTGATACTGAATATCTACTTCCAGAAGATGTCAAAGTATTCATATGTATAAGTTGTATGGGTCTAATTTCTTACATCTATCTATCTTACTTAATTGTTATGAATAAGTATAAAATCAGTTTTAACAACTTACTTAACCAGTAAAACTTAGTTTGTGTTCTATTCTGTTTATTATATGTTTGTTTAAATTTCTGTATTTACTTAATTGCATATGTATATGTATGGAGTATGTACATGTTCATATGGGTGTGTTCATGTTTGTAGGTAGGTACAATGTGTGTGAGTGTATGTGTGTGTGTGTGTGTGTGTGTGTGTGTGTGTGTGTGTGTGTGTGTGTGTGTAAAGGCCACAGGTCAATATTGAGTGTCTTCCTCAGTCTCTGTTCTCCATAGTTTTTGAGACAGGGTCTCTCTCACTGAACCTGAACTTTATCTATTTGCCAGGCTGTCTGGCCACTGAACTTAGGGATCTGCCTGTCTCTGCCTCCCGAGCACTGGGGTTATAGATATGTGCCACCTCCCCTAGCTTTTCTGTAAGTACTGGGCATCCAATTGGGCTGTCTCGCAACCCCTCAAAATAGCTTTTAGAACAAATTTTGCATGCATTAAGAGATAAGTTTTAACTTGAGATTTTACCAATGCTGTCAGAACATACAATAAATTATGAAAGTACAGCTCAGTAAATTGTCACAGAGCAAGCCGACCCTGGTAGCTACCACCCAATCAAGAAATAGGATGTTTTCAGCAACAGAGGCCTTCCTCAGGCCTTCCTAGTCACCGTTTTCTTTTACCTGTAAGTCACTGCTGTCTGTACTCACAACACCACTGATTAGCTCCTTCTGGAGGGAAGCCATTCTGTACATTGTTTCTTTGGGTAAATGAAGACTGTAGCGCTAGGCTACAAAATCAGGCTGTATTTTACATCACTCCTTAGAAGCAATTGTGTGACTTAACAGTTTGTCTCTGTCTTTTCAAACTTAACTGGCAGTTTCTGGGTGTAGTGGAGACTAACTTTCAGCATTGAGATCAGGTCAGTTCTCATATACTTGTGTGGAAAATCTGCTTAGGCTGGGATAAGACTGTTTCCTCAGGGACTCTGCAAATGAGAAGGGGTTGGGACTATCAAACAGTCACTGAGAGTCTGCTTGGATTTTGACTGCTTCCATTTATACATTAAGCTCAGATCATGATCTGGCTGCATATGTGATGTGGTTGACACTTTTAAGACATACTCATCAGTATTCACATACTCATTTTCAAGGACTCAGAGTATTTTCAAGATATTGGAGTTTTACTTCTTGGATATATTATCCTTCATAAAATAAAAATTATGCTTTCATTTTATTCACTGAACTAAAATGGCTGTATACTTTAAAAGTTTGATGAATTTATCTCATTTATTAATTATGTTTTAGACAAGGTATTGAAATGGAAAAGGTGATGCAGGAGTTGGGGAAATCACTCACAGATCAAGATGTCAATTCACTGGCTGCCCAGCATTTTGAATCCCAGCAAGTAAGTGAAATGAAATATAATGGCTTCAGGTATATAATTATGTTTTCTTTTCTTGTGAAGAACTTGACCAGTTGGCACTCTCTGTTTAGGACTTGGAGAATAAATGGTCCAATGAGCTGAAGCAGTCAACAGCTATCCAGAAGCAAGAGTATCAGGAGTGGGTGATAAAACTTCACCAGGACCTAAAGAACCCCGACAACAGCTCCCTCAGGTACTGACCCTCGCTTGTTCTTAGTCCTGTGTGTGTCCATCACTATCCATCTTATTCCAGAAGTAGCCTTGTTGGTTGTATATGTTTGGCAATGAAAATGCAAGATTTTGTACTTCATTATTATGTAGCTCTGCTGACCTCAAACTTGGCATTTAGCCTAGGATGGCCTTGAATTTGGAGAAATCCTTCAGACTCACTATCCCAAGTGGTAGAATTACAGGCATTTTCTTTCATTTCATTAAATTGCACTCCACTTGGCATGACTGGATGAATGTCAGACACTCACTAAGCAGAAAGAGAAAAATATCTCTAAGTACAGTAAACCGATTTCCAGAATATGCTAGCACAGGCTGTAAGCATTGGTAGACAGTCCCGGGCTGGCTTTGGAGGAGCACTGTCTTTATGTAATGCCAGCCTCCCACTAGTCTTGCCTCAAGGATAAGAAATATGTCTGCTCTTTTTTTCCCTTTCTCTCTTTCTTTCCCTCCCTCCCTCCCTCTCTCCCTCCTTCTCTCTCTCTCTCTCTCTCTCTCTCTCTCTCTCTCTCTCTTC